GTATCGCGAGCCGTTGTTCAAGTAACAAAATTCTATAGCATTTTAAAAGCATTCGAGTTAACTGTACATACGTGTTCCGTGGTGATATTGTTGTCAAGTGTGACAGCTAGCGGTATAGCCAAATAGTTATTTACCTGTTGGAGACGTAATCCTGACTATTTATCGTTAAGACAGATTTGTCTAGTATATATTTGTGACGTACAGCGTACTAAAATATTGAAAACTCCCTAAGGAAATGAGAAAGGATCTATACGAACCCTACGAAATACTGAATGAAGATGAATTTTTATTGGCTCAATTAATTGTAACACGATGATTATTTTTAGGGTAATGAAGAAAAATAAACTTTCTTATCTTGATATGATTTAATGGTCGCGTCGATTATTTCGACTTAATACAACATAGCTTATAATATGATAGTAGTCGATAGCTATCAGGCAGTGCCGCATCAATGGAGACAAGTAGTGTAGGAACTATCGATTGTTTTGTACAGTAGCTTCTTAATATCAGTAATATAGTTTATTAATTGCATCGATGCTATTGTTTTTATTCTAATTGTATTGCCATGTACAATGTAAATATTATTTATTCATTAATTGTAGGTATTTTGGGGCAGCATTGAAAATAAGCAAATGAGAGACATGAAATCTGAAATTAGTTTATCTTTATTATGAAAAAGTTGTAGGAGAAAATCAATATGACTATAATGATATCATGAAAATATTATTTTGAAATCGTATTTGAAAATCGAATTTACGATGTTGTAATTAGCTTTATAATAGATTAACTTTATTAGATTTGCCTGTTTCATTACTATTTAATGATTGACTATCGATATTTTGGTATCTCTATGTTGTGTACTTTCGTTGTTTCAGATTTGCATAACATAAGAGCTTAAGTTTTGAGTAATTTGTGTGATGTTATGCAATAGTTATTAGTTATTTAATATTTGCTGACTCTAATGGGCAGTAAGATAACTAATGTTAGTTGTATTAAGTATATGAATTAGATGTCTAATTATATAGTAATTGATGATAAAGTAACTGATTTAAATCTATTGAACGAAGTGTTCTGTATAATTATCTGTAAAAACGGATGGTTGTTTGGGCCCTTAAAAAAAATTTTTTTTGTTGTTATTGTGGGAACAGTTATGCATCATCTGTAAAAAATAATTTGTCTAATTATCATGATTCATGAACTATTTATGACATACAGCCTGGTGACAGACAGTGAAGTGTAATTAATAGAATTACGTTTTATTCTTGGGTACGGAACCGTACAAGAGTTCTTACTTTCATTATTTTCTTTTGTATGTGACATTCGTTGTAATATATATTGTTTTCTAAAGTGAAATTATATTGATTTTATTCTGAGTATAATGGTTGTATTGGTTTCATGTCTTAAATAATATTGTTATTTGAATTAAAATATATTTCTTCTAATTCATATTTCTGTATTTGGAACTTACATTTGAACTACAATAATAAGAGATTGTGTTAGGAAAATCGCAGTTCTTCTTAAATTAAATAATAAAATCCGTTATTTTTACATCTAAGATTCCCAAGTTACTTCTTGGGGTCATAAACGGTCTCCTAGTAGTAGTCATAAACAAAAGTTGATTTTGGGGGTCCATGAGGTCATAAATAAAGTCTGAAGGTCCCTTTGGAAGTTTTAAGACACTGTATAAGTATTTTTCCGTTTAAGTCTTCAATAAACATAGAAATAGATTTTATTAATGTTCATAAGGATATGACATTGTTTACTTACTTAACGAACCGCAAAAGTTTTAAAGGCGTTACATCTCGACTGTGACTGTGATTTTTGCGAAAATAGCCAAATTTGGCGTTCTTGATCTCTGTATCATAAATATATCAATAATTTTGACTTATTGAATATTTAAATATAACTGTTGGTTTAGTTTGTAGCGGCTGTTTTTTTCGTTGTGCTTATTTTTTAATTGACTTCAAAAATACAGCGATTTTCTTTATGAGTTCCTAGATTGAGCTGGTGGTCTAAACAAATGACATAAAAATATAATCTCTCAGTCTCAAGGTCTTAAAAATATTAAATATCGCTATTATGGCACAGCATTTGCATAAATACATCTTTCATTTCCAACATTCATATTTCTTTTCATCATACATGCCTTCATTTGAAAAGAGCTTTTAACATCATTCCCCGCTAATAGCCGATCAATCTTAACGTGAAAGATATGTTTCGATCTTCTTAAACATCTCTCACTGCTAGTGTAAAGTACTTAAATAGACATGGTTAAAACTCTTCTGAACGTCGTCTTTTTGTGGACAACTAGGTTTTTTGACACCAAATGTAGTATTTTTCCTGGATTATACAGTAAGAATAATTTTATACTCAAATTTGCGATAAGAAAAAGCAATCTGTGTAACGGTTCCACTTGCCCCGTAAGGAAAAACATTAACCACTGTGGTCACGATTAGTATGAACAACAGTACGTTTAGAACTATTGTGGCGGCTAACAAGGCCGCGTCACGTCCTTAGATGTCATATATCAGATCATCTAAAGATAAAATTTTCTTTGCTAACCGTTACCACTGTACTACTAAAACGGTTCATTAGCGTCATTAAAAATGTAATCTATACTAATATTAATGAAATGAACGATTTCATTATTATTTTTTTATTATTTATTAAATAGATAAAGAAAATAATTGGCCGATTTTAAAAATTCTTTCACTTATAGCTTTCGCGGCGCGGGGCACTAGCCAGTTTTCAATAAAAATATTAACTTTAAAACAGTACTTAATACAAGTAGGTAGGAGTATTGACTGATAGGCGATAAATAAAACTTTTTTGAAACGAGGATTAGTTCGGTATGCTTGCATTTCGTAGTATGTTAACATAGCTAGTTATTGAGTATTATTTAACTATTTTTGAAGATGTTTTTAGAAAAATTTTAAGCGCAACAAACATTGCTATTCCAAACTATGTGATATTTATGGTACTTCTTTGGAAATAGCATTTATTATTTGTATTTCGACACTAATAACTACTGACCAATTTAAATTATATAGTATAAAAAGAATTCCTTGAAAACTTTCTTAATTTTTTAGAGGCTTCTAATCTTCCCTAATTAGATTACCGGATTATAATAAATTGCAACCAAATATTAATTACCTTTTTCTTCTTTTTAAAACTTTTAGCGTGAGTTTCATTACAATTATTTAGTAATATAATTATTGTTTGAATCGACTTATGCAGAATCTTTTGGCAAACTTTCTAGTCTATTCAAAGTTGAAAAAATATGTTAAAACTCAAATGTTTTAAATATTTATTAGTTACTAACTATTCATAAAGTATAAACTATAAACCTAGCAATGTTAGCTATTATTTATGTAAATCATACACACGATTTGATAAAAACGTGGGGAGAAAATCGATGGAGAGTATTCAAGTGTGGTATTCAAACACTGAGAACCGCAATGGAAAAAGTTGAAGTAGACATAGACTATCTTCTGAATTTTAATAGCGTCCCTTTATATAACAACACATCCTTTCTTATAGTAGAATTGTAGCGGTATGTTGTATTATCGACATCGTTCATATTTTTCCTAAGTTCTTTTTGTCTTTGATATTTGATATTATTTTTGAATGTTTTTAATTTTGTAACTTTAAATCAATGGTACGTATGTTTAATGTCAGTTCGTCTGGATTCCTCTTGTTTTTTATTATATTGATAAAATATGCATTCAAGCTTATTTGAGTATTTCAAGTCCACGAATACCCTTTTCATCGTAGTCTCAGGGGGACTGCATTACACACTGTCCCTTCCAATACAGTCATATATCCTGACAATAGAGTATATTGTACGATTCTGACAATAAATGACTAGCTCTATAGTGCAATGGTGAGCGCGCTCAGTCTGCGATGCGGTTGTTAAGCAACTTTCTCAAGGGCCGATGGGAGGATGGGTAACCAAAAATTATTACCTCCTTTGTCCTTAACAAGGCGTATATACCGACTGAATCGACAGTCATTGACGACCGCTAATCTGCACTAGGCATGCGTTGGTCATGTATGGCTCATTCTCCCTATTCGATTTGATTCGATCCACAGGGAAAGCCTGAGCCACAACAGTAGGGGCATTCAGAAAATCACTTTTAATATCTCAATTGATCCTCAACTCTTTTTAAAGTTGCTTCAGTATGGTTCTATAAATAATATCGAAATAAAAATGTTTAACTCTTTAATTCATGATTATTGTACACATCTGAATAGTTGTACCTATTTTGTTATCTCATGAATAGAGAAAAGTAACTGACATTGGAACATAATCGCTAATATGGGATAGGTATTGAAATTCGTTCTTAAATTATTCCTTTCTAATAGGGAAAAATTTGAGAATTTTCAATAAGTTCCGGAAATTCGTAATCGGTTTATGTCTAATTGTAAGAAAGTAATATCAGTATTCCAATTAAGAAATACAATTACATATTTGGTTACTTTTCTTTACCTTTAATTTTAATATAACTATTTCGTAGAATAATGAATTATACCTTTCAAGACAATTTTATAAAGTAGAATATTTATATTTTCTCTCAAAAAGCATATTCAGATTACATGAACCGTTATTTAGCGTATTGATACGCTAAATTATTACCTAATCAATTTTGTGTGATTTTTCAATAATAAAAGGTAACTAAATAGATAGGTATATAACCCAAATTAAACTATATTACATATTAAACTATATATACCTATATATAAATATAATAAGTTCCTTAACGTTATGTTATGAGCTGAAAATAAATGAATTGGTAAAAAATATTTAATGAGACAGAGACAGATGTTAGAAAACAAGAAGTTATAATCGCGTGGTAGTACTGTTTTCAAATATTCATCCCAAATTTTGTGTATAGAGAAAAACAGACTTTATAATAAGTTGAATAATTAAATTAGCAAAACGCAAGAAAAAAAACTTTGCTTGCAATATCGAGCAGGCATTACATTTATGTTGCGGTAACAAAAAAATATAACAAAGAATAATTTATTTCAAATAAATAATTGGAAATAATAAATAGTTCACGTATTTTAATGTGTACTTATATATTTTCTAAAATTAAGTATTATTATACATATATTATTTACAACTTTTACTATAAAATGTTTGTTTATAATTTGTATATTTCATACTTCTCATTATTATCATCTTGTAAGTTGCTTTCATCAGGATTATCTTCAACGTGTATAATTTTTTCAACATTTTCATTAAAAGTCACCACTGATTTTCTCCTGCCTCTTTTGCGTTCACCATATTCATCTTCATCTGAAGATTCACCGTCTTTGAGTTTATCTTGTATTATTATTGGTGCTTTATTATCTATAGGATTGATAGGAATAATCGTTGAATTATTTGCGGTAGTTATAGGTTCAACTAGAATATCTTCAATAGGAGCGTTGAGCATATCTTGTAGCCTTCTTTCACTTCTCTTCAGTTCTTCTATATTTAACCTTGGTAGGGAGCCTCCAGTATCTGGTTTCATTTCGGTAACAATAGGTGTTTCTGTTTTAGATGATATACTGTTTGATTCGCTGAATCGTTCGTAGTTTTGTACCTTTCTTCTGTGAAAATAATAGTAATCGTTTCAATAATATGTTAGTAAGATGCTTTAGTATTAGATTTTACATATATGGTCATAAATCGCTTATAAATCTCGTATTTTCATTAATGGTTAAACATATTGCAATGTTGAATTTCTATCGACTTTCGTTTCTAAAGATCTTGTATCTTATATATTGATTTTGTAAAATATTGTATATATATTAATGAACTTATACAGTGTTATTAACAAACAAGGTTTAGCGTTGGTGTAAATTTACGCTGAGACTGCCTAAGTATTAGTCAAAATTCATATTATTAAACAGAGACTTAATAAAGGTTAAACCTTTATTTTTAACGCGTTACGCATTCCCGCTACACCCAGCGCGGGCTTCACGGGTTATATGAGACTCAGCGGGTGCAGCCCACCCTTGAAGGAGCTAGACAAGAAGCAGAGTATACCCATTAAAACTCAACGATGTCCCTCGCATGGAAGACGATGCACGGGATCGGCCCCGAGGCCATACACCGCGCGTTTCGCCACCATTTCGGCCCGCCCTAATAAAGGTTAACCTAGTGCGAGGTTTCCGGGAGTAATATTTAATATTCCGGGAGTAAGTTTGATTATTCTCTGTATCATATGAATTTTAACCAATACTAAAAATGCAATTTTCGCACAAATTTACCCTGACGCTAAATCTTGTTTATTAATAGCACTGATAGTGATTATGATCTAAGTATTTATGATCCTTTGATTAATATTAGAATTAAAAAAAATTTTTATCTAAAACAAATATAAATGAAAGTTTTTTTCATGTAACATACCTTAAAAAGATGAACCATACAACTACAGCAGCAACAATCACCAAAAATAGCAAAACGCTAAGTACTATCGTCGAAACAAGTAATCCTAAGTTGCTTCCCGAAAAGTCACGTGACACTTGCAAATGTTCTTCTAGTGATGCAATTCTTGTAATAGTAACCGGTATAAGTTCGGCATTTTCAATAATGTTTCTGTAAAAGTAATTTGGTCGTTTTAAATATTATTTAGACTTAAATTAAAATGTATTTTCATAAATTACTTACTCGGATAATTTTTCCACGAGAACAGGTTCTCTTTGCAACAACCCATATACATGAATTTGTAACGAATGCCCATTTGAATTGACGTCACGTTTTCCTCTATTATAAGTGTTGATTGCCTGTTCTTCCGAATTTGATACTACTACAGATTTTAGGGCTTTAACATCATATCCAACAGCGCTACTTAAATTGCTTAGTATGATGCTTTCGTCTTCCAAGAAAGCATTCTCAACCGTAAGTACGGCTATGTTATTTATGTCTAACAATTTAATCTGCAATAGTGATAAAAAAAATGAAAATATATATTCCTATAAACAATATATTATTATTACACATGCATTTTTTAATGAATTTAAACGGCATTTATATTAATATCTGAGATATGCAATAAATATCTGTATAAAAATGTTTGAGATTATTTTTTTTTGCAGTATCTTAAGAGCGATCCAACATGATTTGAAATATTAGGAATTGTTAATATTTTATTTACTTACTATAAGTGATATAGTTCCAGTAAGACCTTGTCCGTTGAGATCAGTAGCGCTGACGACTAGCTGCATATCTTGTATCAGCTGGGCGTCATTCCGTACATGAACAAATCCAGTTGAGGAAGACACAGCTAATTGTGATTCCGTACTCCAATACATTAATGCAGCATTTTCTCCTATATCCGCATCTGTGGCCTGTTAGAATAATACTTATTTCTTAATACATGTATATTAAGATGCTTTATTTTTCTATTTTTAGTCATCGGTGGAATGCTTTATGCACAGTACCTGTTGATAGGCGATAGGGGATGTGTGGGACTCTGCATTCACATGGAACACTCAAAGGCTAGTCGATACATGGATAGCATACCTACTAAACGGATATAGCAGGGATGTTTTGTATATTATTTAAATACGAAAACACTTATAATGTAGTAAATGGTTGTTATGGTTAACAGGAAAATATTTTGTTTTTCATAGATGAATATATATTATTTACACTACCTAAATATAATTAATAATCCATAAAACTTGTAGAACTCGAAACTGAGAAACTACTATGAAATCTGCGAAACGATTGAAGATTCATTCAAAAAAACATTACCTTTAATTCTATTAAAGATCGTGGTGAAATACTTGATATGAGATCTGGAACTGGGTAACCAATAGCGATCGGTTCGTTTTCTTTACCAACAAATATTGGTGCGTTATCATTAATATCATTTACAATTAAATTCACTATGGTTGTTTTTCGATCATATTCAATGGTGTTGCCAAGAAGCCAGGTGTTATCTCCATAGTCGTATGAACCGAGCCAATCTTGCCTTGCGGATCTCTTGGTCCGCGTCTCAGTATTGCAATGTAATTTTAATTCTACTTTTATTTGAGATAACGCCATGAATGCAATAGACGGATGTTCTCTATCTATAGCGTAAGTGTGTAATCCTGTTTCGTCGACATAGAGCCACTGTTGATCAATCGGCCAAATATTTTTAAGATTATAATGGCAGCCTGCATGTAGAACGGGGTTGATTGTCACAAGATCATGATGCGGCTCTTCTTCGTCTCTGTCAATAACCACCAATGGTGGTATACCGACATTGTTTTCGCATAGGGTGGTCTCATAGACAGATAAATATACCTGTAAATATATTACATGGAATAAAAGTACACATAAGAAAATATATACACAATTATATTACATGGAATAAAAGTACACGTAAGAAAATATATACACAATTATGTTGACTGATGATCATAACGAGAAATTTTATCGAGATTTTTAATGCATATGGTTTTGGTAAAGTACTTTATTAGATAAGATGACCATTCTATAAATTCCATTAAATATATGATGGATAGATAATACACATCAAAACATATTCTTTGAAGGCTGTATAGATATTCTAAGTCGATTATATTTCTAGTTAATATGTAAAAATATGATAACATATTCTCAATGATTATCGTTTTTTTATTTGAATTTTCTTTGGTAATACAAGCAAAAGACGTGATTTCATATTGAAATGCTTTAAGTCAGCAGTGCCACTTCTCTAAATTGTTGTATACGTACCGTTGTCGCGCCATTGGTTCCAGTAAACACGGTAGTTGCTATTACTTGGAAGTTGTAAGAACCAATATCGGCCGAAGCAGAAAGGCGTAGTTCTCCATCATTTGTTATTGATAAGCGAGACTGAAGATGTTCTGGAAATAAAATAATGTTTTATAACGTGCATCTTGCATAACGTGCATTATCGTCAGTCTTCAATATTCATGTTCACACTCAGCCAGGGACACATTCAGCCAGGGACTTCCTTATGGAATTTATCAAATAGGGAGAAAGCGCCCAGTGCGAATTAGTGTGGTATAAGACTGCGAATATTCTATGACCATCCTATATCCTATGATCAGTTATTGTGAAAGTTAATTGTAGACTGAATGTCATAACTATCGTTCTATCGAGCGTCACAAATAGTCTGGTTATATTTTTAGATGGATTAATGCAGAATATTTGACCGTAAAAGTATAATAAAAGGTTTTTTTTTAAACGTGGATTTTTAAAACCAATAAACTTTCTTAGGTGGCACCAAATTTGAAAGAGGATGTACGGAGTTCTTTTTAATTTACTATAGTTGAATACAATTATCTTCATATTAATATTTCAAGATCTACGATGATCACAATCTGTGATCACAATAATCCATTGATACTAATATTATTTATAATTATCAAAAAATATATGCCTTTATCTAAGTACACTTAACTGGCGCTTACATTCTTGGACACTTACCATTGTCTAAACGGAGAGAATAAGTGACGGATTCTCCATTATCAGCTATAGCTTCAACTTGACCTACTGTTCCAGTCTGGCCTTCCTCCACTTCAATCACATAAGACTCAGAGTTGAAGATCACATTAGGCTCTATTGGTGGATCTGGTATTAGAAACAAGATATTTAACATGTTGTTATTAATATATATTTTTTTTATTCGAGATTTAATTGTTCTTAGGTGGAGTATTTAAGTAAAGATAAGATTTCGACATGTATATTATACATGTATATGTATAAAAATATTAGCCTATTTGTGTAGTATAAAGTAGAACCAATTTCAAAGAGATAAATAATACTTATCTCAAAAGTGACTTATTTAAGAAAATGCTATTGAGGTCGGGCAGAGGTTTTCTGTAGGTTATTAATTAAATGATAGGCACTTCAATAGCTTTTTCTTGAATAAATTACTTTTGAGATCAGTATTATTATAACATTTTTAAAGTGTCAAGTCGGTTCTACTTTTTATAAAAAGTTTTTATTTCACGCTTTTTAGTGAAATTAATATTTTTTTTACATAATAGGTAATGGTAAAGATTTTGTTTTAATTTAAATGGAACCTCCTCGATCTATCAAGCCTTCGAACAAAAAAGAATTTTGAAGATCGGTCAACAATTGACGAAAATATCGGTGAATATACATAAAAAAAAACATTTATCGACGACAAACATATAAACGTTCGATTTTGAAGTCGATTAAAAAACGGACAACCGTCGAAATACTGAAAACATGACTTACGCTCTCTTGAGAGTTACGTGAATCGTTATGAAGGAAATTCAAAGAAGATAAAATATAATTGATTTATATGCTGTCCGTGTTTTCTTGCGTTTTCTTTGTTAATCCCGAGAGAGCTATAAAGGGACTGATTTTATATACTAGCTGTTAACTTATTACAAACTCGTAGAAAGGCTTAAACGCTTTTGCCAGATGTGCATTACAGAAAAGTTAATTTTCTACATTGACATGACCGGGAATAATAATGAACGAAAAAGAAATTGGCGATACCTTGAAACTCACTAAGAATTGTAGGAAACTCACCTGAACCAGTGACTTCTAGTATTAATACGGCAGCAGCGTTACTAGCGCGAAGTTCCAAAACAACATGACTGAGATCAGCAGGCAGCGTTAGAGAACCAACAGTTACTATTGTAACCACACCATTGTAATACATTGCGCTAAATAAAGTGTTGAATTCTGAAATATTTTTACAAACTCATAATTACCATTTTCATGCCATTGTTAGTAGATATCTTGGTTTCAGGGTCAATAAAAAGTAAATAGGTAAAATACGTAAAAATTAGCTATACTAATATTATAAACAGGTAAAGTTGTTAGCTGTTTGTTTGTAAGGGGTAATTTTCGGAAATACTGATCCGATCATGAAAATTCTTTCATCTACGAGAAGATACATGGGTGCTATATGTATAAATAACGCGCGCAAAATCCAGTGATCACAGCTACTTAAATAAAATAAATGAAGGAATTAAATACGACATTTTCCCCGAGGAACAGTTTCAGGAATGTAGTCTAGCAATACTTACTTGGCTTCGTCTAGTAGACGTGAACGCTTATTATGATGATAAGAAAGGCAAGAAATATTGGAAAATTGAAAGCCTTTTCTTTAAATAAGTTAAGTTAATGTATGTTGAATTGAGAATGTAAAATTTGACTCATGGTTAAATAAAAACAAGGGTATAGATAGTTAGTAAATGTTTACTATTTATGAAAATGTATTACCACCAAAGTTGAAATAGTCGTGGGTTCATTATCGTCAAAATAAATTAGAAGCTTATATAGGGAAGATGACTACTTTTTGACCACTTTTGGTCAATTGGGACTTTAGGGCGTTCTAACATACATATAAGCAAATATTGTATATTACTTTTACGTATGCACACAGTTTTAAAAGCTTGGATTTTTGTAAAGATTATGTCTACTGAAAGTTCACTTTTTTATACCTTTTAAAACGACCAAAATCGGGTCATAATCTTAAAATGGCCGAAATCATCTACCCTATTTGAAATACATATGTAAGTACCATGCCTTGTGGCGCTCTTTCACCTGCCTACCATCATAATGGCTTAGTTAAACTCGTCGAATGAAAATACGCAGAAACATAAATAACAGAAATCGCCCGCACGCCGTTCGTAGACGTCATCGATGAGTGTGAATGAGCAATAAGGCGTAAAGAATTAATAAACAGATTTAATAAAAACTGTAAAACTATATAGAACGAAGCAAAATTTGGCCAATATATGAGTATGTGTGAATGAAATTATTAACTTCAAGACTTCACTTACGTCCCATAATGTCTATTTGATTTATATCTGGTTCAAAACCAGATAGATTTATGATCTCATGTTGAACGATGCCGCCTTGTATTCTTCCTTCATATAGAACTTTATCAAACTTGGCGAGGCTTACTTGAATATCTGTCAAATAGAAGTAAAATTAAACTTTGTTTTCGCTGTTACTTTTTTATATTAATATCTTATTGATCATAATATCTAAAAGAACGAAAATCACATCATGTTACGATCTAAAATAATCGTCATTATAACAAAATCTATAAAATAAACAGTACGCGTATCTTAGACTAAATTTCTACGGTACTACGGTACTCCGAATTACGCGTACGCTATGAATAATCATTCATTACTGGTGGTTGTTTTCTGTGGTATTCAACTCCTTATTATTATGTTCAAGTTTATCTATCCTACTTATTTAATTTTCATTTGATCTCATGTGATAAAATGATTCAAAGAATAATAATAATTTATTATACGAGGGCTTAAAGGACTAATTGTATAACTTAACGGTAACCGATCCAATTGTAACTAAAGGAGATTTTTAAAAGATATTTGCCGAAAACCATTGGAGTGGCTTCAACATTAACCACAAGGTGCATTCAGCAGAATGGTTGAGAGCTTTTAGTTTCAAATTAAAAAAATAATGTTATTCTAATGAAAATTAACAAAAAACAAAATGAACAAGTCGAGTTTTTAATCATGAGTACTTTTTTATTATCTTTAACTTACATTATTTTACGTATGAATAAAGACTTTTCTGTAGGCTCGTTGGGTACAATAAAAAAAAACACTATTTCCCATAGAGCAGGAAAATTTAATTTTATTCTACATTTTTGTGAATGATATACCAGACTGCCTAGCAATCTCTACACCGTTCATATACGCAGATGATTTAAAGTTCTGTAGGAAAATAAAAAATTTTACTTCAAAGTGATCTTAATAATATATTAGAATGGTGCAGCGTCAACAATATGGCACTAAACATTAATAAATGTTTTATATAAGATTTGGTAGCATAAAGCATAGTTTCATCCATCACCTATTAGTACTCTATTGGTGACATTTTGATCGAAGAAATGCTCGTGACTTGGAAGTCTTATTCGACAAAAAGATGATTTTTATTTCACACATTGAAAATATTACTAATCGGGCTTCGTGGATGTTGGGATTTGTCATGAGAAACACAAAAAATTTGAGCAATATCAAGACAAAAATATTATTTTTTAATGACTTGGTACGAAGTATATTGGAGTACTGTTGTGTCGTTTGGAGGCTACATTACGCAACACATTCTTTAAGAATATTACAGGTTCAAAAAAGATATATCTGGGATCGGATGTATTCTTGAGGCACCTCGAAAAATAAAGTCTGCATATGATGAATGGTTGGCTCATTTCATCATGATCGCATTATTACAGCGTGGAATTCTAAATGACTTGTGTTTTGTTTCAAAAATTCTTGGTCATTGTGTGGATTGTCCTCAGTTGCTGGATAGAATTGAGATGCCAGTCCCATCTCGATATCCTCGAAAGTCAATGACGCCTCTAAGTGTACCGTTCCGTAAGACTGTTTTCAGGTCTAATTCACCAGTTGCAAGGTTTTGTAATGGGGAAAACTGATATTTTTTGTTTTTCTTTTTTTTTATTGTGCATATTGGTGTATGTTGTGTTTACTTTTAAGAATATCTGGCAATTAGACAGTAATAGTAAAATAAGTAAATAATTATAAGTAAGGAATATTGTAAACAAATGTTGCCAAACCTAAATAAATGAAAAAAGAAATGTTTATTTCCAGAAACCATCACAATTTTATACACACTGAACCCCACACTAGGCAGTGCCTGGCCTGTGGAGGAGATTATTTAGAACAAACAGTTTTTCTGATATTTTATAGACTGCTGATAAGGGACATGGACATTTATGTCGTGTATGTGTGAATGCTATGTGATGTGTGTATGCGTGATAGTATATGTGGAATAGTATTATTATTATTATACATTATTTTATACAAGGACTACATCAGAGCTGCTAGTAATGTCTCGGTCTTCTCATATGTCCAGTTCATCATTGTATCTGAAACCAGTCTTTTTGTTTCCTGAACATTAGAACACTCAAAGTGGCATAATTTGGGCAAGTTTATTATAGATGAAAGACCGAAGAAAAAAAACCCGAAACGATCTGCAAAAGCGGTAACTCCAGATGGAATTCGCAGTTTAAAAACACGTTTTCTCAGTATCTGTATGTATGCTTCAGATTTCAGTACATGTCTCTGAACTGAGACTGCAACTCTCATAAAATATAGTCTTCTAACACTCAAAACTTTAGCCTCATAAAGAGCAGCAGTTGAATAACGCATAGGTTTTCTTAGAGCGGCCTTTAAAACTACTTCAAGTACCAAGTACTACTCCTAATACTCCAAGATACTTTATAACTTCTGCTCTTTCAACCTGATTGCAGTTGCAAGAATTTTCTTGGGTTAAGTAAGGACAATCGTCTGCATGGATTTTTAATGAGTTCACGGGTACGGATTCAGATGCCGCTGTTTTAAGGAAACACAGGAGCTTTATTTTCGCTGTGTTCAAAGACAGCAAATTTTCATTTAACCATAATTGGTTTTGACCACGTGTAATTTTAATGATTTTACTCAGGATCTCCGTTTGTCGAAAATGTGACTAGGCAGTGCAATCTTGCAGCAAAATCTTCAATCACGGTAATTGCAAGATCTCGTAATTCTACAAATCCTTAAAATTTTATAAGTATTACTTTTATACTTGATAAAAAGTAAAAGGCAAAAATAAAATATCACACTCATACAAAAAAAAATTAACGACTGCCAAAATTGAACTAGAAATAACAGAAGCAATTATTATTATGGCTTGGCAAAACAAAATATCCTCATTGAAGTCGAGTAACTGTTCTGTGGCATATTTATAATCTAAGATGTTCCCCAAATGATCGTCAAACTAATCGTTTTTTGTTTTTCTGATTTGATGTGCTGGCACACTAGCCACGGCTCCTTTCAAACCAATATAAATTGATCTTTCAAACAAGTTTAGCATTTTGAGTAAAATATGCATGCAATTGCCTAAAACTACAATTATATCACATATCTCGGTGATACCTGCAGATTTTCGACTACGGCGGTAATACTTGTGTTTACCTTAGAGACAGACGCTTAGTGTTGGTGTAAATTTAAGAATTGGTTGTTTTTCCTATAAGATAGTTGTACGAAAATTTTTCGCAACTCAGTAGTGCTCCAGGTTTGTTTATAATGGCTCCTGGACGAAAAACAACCAAAGTTGTAAATAAAAAGATTTTGTGAATTTCAGTCATCGGTTAACTATTTCATGAAGTCAACGCGGAAGAAGTCGTAGACAACGGCTAGAGTTATATATAAGAGTAATTACCTCGTATCATAAGAAATAAATGAAACTGTTACAACAGCAAACTTGAAGTCATTCATACTATTAAAACAAGATTTGAGATTACCATCTTCAATTACTATTTTCAGTATAATTGTTGTATAAGCCGGCAAAGCTGATGGAGCTGTTGCTTGAAGTTGTACTATTATGAGCCTGTTGAGTGGTATCAAATCGTCGGGGATGGAACTTTCCAAAGTGATCGTGACAGTTTCCAGGTCATTCGAGACGTCGAAGAAGGGTTGGAAATCTGGAATGTGTCAGATGTTAATTGTTGATATAAAATGTTGTTTCGATAGGACAGACGATGACTGCTTGGCTGCAAATTACGCACCTCCGACTAGTGAGAATTGAACTTCTGATGTAAATCCTTCGTTAAGAACGATCGCTGGCAGCGTAACATTGTTTCCTTCTATCGAGCCCAAGTAATTAATGCGTTCGAAGCCAAGAATTTGTCCTGCACTTACGTCTGCAAACACCCATATAAAGAATCGCATGTAGCAATATGAAGGATAA